ATCAAGGGAGAAAGAGCAGAAAAGTGCATCAGTGAGAGAAGGATGGTGAAAGAGAGAGAGGTTATGTGCTGTGTGCCAGAGAGGAAGAGAAAGCTCACACATTAAAGGAAGAGTGAATGACAGAGAAGTGGTTAGAACAGGAAGGGGAGGAAAGAGAAATCAAGAAATTATCGAAGAATGTGAAGAGTGTCCAAGAGAGGAACAGATGCACAGGACAGAAGTAAAGCACAAAAGAGAGGGAAGGAAACCTTACACGACAGGGAGGAAGAGAAAGCATGCAAGAGAGAGTGAAACAGGGTGAGAGAGATGTTCAACAAAGGATATTATTTGAGAGGGGAAGTAGGCACAACAGGGGAACATATGTTGAATGAGAGAGATCAAGAGAGCATGAAAGTAATAAACATGCACAGTAGAAACAAGGAATGCTTGAGCAAACAAGAGGTAAAGCGTGTGTATGAGAAAGTGAAAGAGTGTATCAGAGAGGGAATGTGCATGATAGAGCAGAACACTGAGTAAGGGAAAGCACCTGAGAGAAATATGAAAAGCATGAGAGAAAGATGAAAAACATCAGAAAAAAAAGAGGGAAAGCATATCAAAGAAAGAAACTGAAAGTGAATGGGGAGGGTGTGCACATACAGGGAAGTGAGAGGAAATGTGCACATGAGAGAGGAAAGGTGCAACAGAAAGAATGAAAAGGTGCCAGAAAGGGGAAAAGCATGGGAAAATAGATGGGTAAATGTGAGAGAGGGAATGTATGTACAGAAAAAAGGAAAAAAAAAAAGATGTTCATTAGAGATGGAATACGCATGTGAAAGACCAAAAGCATGTGACAGAACAAGAAAGTGCACAGTGAGAGGGAAAGCCTGAAAGTCAGCAAGAGAGAGGGAGGGAAAGGGTTGCATTAGGGAGGGAAAAGGTGCCCAAGAGCAGGAAAGTGCAAGCCAGAAAGAGAGGGTAGGAGCAATCAACAGAGGGAAAGTGGAAGGCTGTAAGATTCAGAAAGTGTGCAAGATAGGAAAAACACAGGCAGAAGAGCGGGAGACACTATAGAGAGAGAAGAAAAGCATGCATGCAAGAGAGGGAAAACTTGAGAGAAAGTAAATGGATGGTAGTGTGTGGAAAAGAGAGGGGGAAGCACACACAAGAGAGGAAAGTGTACAAGGATGAGCAAGGAAAACTGCATTAGACAAAAGCGTGCATGAGAGGGATAGCATTCTAGAAATCTAAAGCATTAACTAAAAGGAAAGTGATGGAATGTGTGAAAGAGGGACAGAAAGCATGAGCAAAAGAGGAGAAGAGGGGGATAAAGACCAAGTGAAGGCCGGGAGAAGAGAGAGGCAGTGTGCATAAGGGCAGAACAAGCAAGAGAGACTGGGAGACTGTTCAACTAAAACTAAATGTGGTAAAGGGAAAGCATTAAAAACAGTGAAGTATAAAAGAGAAACAAAATGTGTGAGAGGGAACTCACAAGAAAAGGAAAAAAATGTAAGGAGTGCAGTAGGGATAGGGAAGAGCATATGCAGAAGAGCCAAGGAAAGCATGCTAGGAAGGGAAACCCTGTGAGGAAAGTGTGAGAAAGCAAGCAAGAACGTGAGAGAGGGAAATGTGTGATAAAGAAAAGGAGGCAGGGTGTGAGAGATGTCTGATAGAGGGAGCCAAAGGGAGAGTCAAGGTGGGAGGGGAGGGACAGCCAGAGAGGGTTGCAAGAGAGAGGGAGAGACCCCGAGAGAGATGGAGTGATGGGGGAGGAGTATGTGAGAGTGACAGAACCTGTGTGTGACAGTGAGTGCAAAGGTATGTGAGAGGCAAAGGGAGGAAGAAAGCAAGAGAGGAAGCGCTGGGAAGAATTTCAAAGGGAAAGTGAGGGGGCAGCAAGACGAATAAAATTATGGAGGAGAGGAATGCAGAGAGAGAGGGAACTAGCAAGCAGACAGTGAGATGAATGCTAGTGAGAGACAGAAAGCAGCAGTGAGAGTGGCAGAATGTGCAGGGGGTAAAGTAAAGTGAGAGACGGTGAAGCATATGAGTGAGGGAGAAAACTACAAGAAGGTGAAGTGAGACAGCATTATGGGGGAAGAGCATAGGGAAGATGGGGAAGAACAGGAAAGCATGTGAGAAGGAAAGGAAAACAAGAGGAAGGGAAAGCAAGAAGAGACAATGAGAGATCAAAAGGGACAGCATGAGAGAGGGAGGAAAGAAACACAGGAAACCGACAGCAGGAGTAAGAGAAGAAGTTCAAGGACGAGAGAGAACTGTGTGCCTTGTACAGCAATGCCAGAAAGGGGGGCAGCAGAAGAGCAAAGTTAACACAGAAGGGGCAAGGTGTGCAAGGGCAAGGTGACAACACAAGTGAGACAGATACAGAAAGAAAGAGAAGGGATGAGAGTGCATTAAAGACAGAGGGAATGCATATTCAGGAGAGAGGACATGAACATGCAAGGCAGCAGTAAGGCCATACGACAAAGAGGGAAACATACAGCGAGAGACAGAAAGCTAGAGAAGGGTAACAAGTGGAACAAGGACAGAGAGCAATAGAGAGCGAAGTAGCAAGCTAGATGGGGAAAGCTTGAGCCAGAGACTGAAAGCATAAGTGAATGCAAAAATCCAAGAAAGAGGAAAAATGTGAGAAAGGTGGGAAAGCATGAGAGAGGAGGTTAGTGAGAAAGACATTACATGAGATAAAATGGGAAACAGTAAAGCACAAGGAAAAGGAAACACATGCAAGAGAAGCAAAGCACGAGAGAGCGAGCACAAAGACAAAAAGCACACGCTAGATAATCAAACTGCATGATGGCAGGAGGGAAGATGTGTGTGAGAGAGGGGATATGAGGTGGAGATGGGAAAAGTGTGTGTGAGAAAGCACGAGGTGAGGGGAGCATGAGATCAGCAAATGATATTAAGTTCAGGAGAAGCACATGACAGAGAGAGGCACTGCAGGTGAGTGGGAGGCAAATCATGTGCTGCTGGGAAAGTGTGTGAGGAAGAGGAGGCAAGTGACAGAGAGGGTGGGAGTTGAAGAAAGAGAGAGGTAGGGGAGAATTGAGGACAAAATGAAAAAAGGAATGAGATGAGAGGGGGGAAGCTAGAGAAAAAGAGAGGAAGCAAGACAGAGAGATAGTGCCAGTGGTAGCAGAAGAGAGGGAATAATGACACTAGCCAAGACAAAAAAGCATGAGTGACATTGCAAGAGCAAACAGGAAGGGTAATTGTGTGAGACAGCATGCAAGAGAGGGAGAAAGACACAGAAATGAAGAGTAAGAAGACGTGAGAGCGGGGAGTGCAAGAGAATGAGAGCAGCAAGCAAGGAAAAGCACACAAAGGAGATAATGAAAGCATGACAGGCAGAATTCATGTGAGAGGGGAAGCACATGAGAGAAAGGGGGGTGCATGCAGGATGGAGGCTGTTGAGACAGACAAGATGCACCACACAGAGGTAAAGGGCACAACTGAAAGAGGAAAGGCTGTGGGAAGCCTGAGAAAGGGAGAAGGTGTGAGAGACAAAAGTAGAAATGCAGAAGAAGGAAAGAGGCGAAGCATCAGAAAGGCAAAGCAAACAGTGATAGCAGGAGGGGGAGGAAGAAAAAGCACAGGTAAACATGCAAGCAAGAGGAAAAATGCAATCAAAAGAGAGAAGTGTGTGAGAGAGAGATGAAGCACATGGGAGAGGGGGAATGCAAGATGAAGAGTTGGGAACAACAGACATTGATACAGGGAAGCATCTGAGAAAGCATAAACACAAGAGAAATGGCAAACAAGTTAAGTGAAGTGAAAGTAAGAGGGAAAACACTAAAAGAGGGAGGTAAAGCATGTCTGAGAAAGAAAACAGAGAGGTGTGATCCATGAGAGAGACATGCACGGGATGGCAGAGACATGAGAAGTATGCCAGTTAGGAACAGGGAAGGGAGAGAAGGCAAGGGGAGGGAAAGGGATCGATGCAGAGAGCAGTAGTGGGAGAGAAGGGACCAGAGAGAGGGTGGCAAGAGATGCAAGGGGCAGCATAAGAGAGACAAGAAAAGCCAACCTAAGAGACTGAAAGCACAGGCAAGAGGGAAATCACATCAGTGAGGGAAGTATGCCAGAGAGTGCAACTCCATGTGAGAGAGGCAAAGCGAATCCACAAGAGCAGGAAAGTATCTGAATGAGGCAAAGCATGAGCACAAGGTAGGCAAAGTGCATATTGGAGATGAAGTATGTCAGGTGGGGTGATCAAGACAAGGCAAATGCTTGAGAGAGAAATCTGGAGGGAAAGGGGAGAGCAAGCACATCAGAGAGAGAGAAAAAGCATGACTGAGGCAATGGGAAAACGATAGACAAAGAGGGAGGGATAACAAGGGCAAAAGAGACGGATACTTAGGGAGAAGTAGCAGTAGCTAGCAATAAGAAGAGAGATAGCAAGCAACAGAGGTAGGGAAAGCATGAGAAATAGAGAAAATGCATGCACCAAAGTACAAAAATGTGTCCTAGATGGAAAAGCACCCAAAGGGGAAGAAAGAACAACAGAGAGAAGTGGGTGTGGCAAGAGGGAAGCGCAAAAGAAAGTAGCAGCACTCAAGAAAGGCAAAGCATCCAAGAGAGTGAGGAAGGTCATGACAGAAGTAGTGTGAGAGAGACAAAGAAAGTAAAGAAGAAGGAAGAGCACATGAGACAGGGAAAGTGAATGGGAAAAAATATCTGAGAAAAGTTAAAGCAAGGGTGAAGAGAGACACAGACTGGGGAGATGGGAACATCCAAGGAGGGACAGAGCGAGGGCGAAGGGAGACGAGGAAAGAGGAACAAGAGATTGAGAAGGGAAAGCAAGAGAAAGAAGGGGATTGAGAAAAACTGATTGTGGGAGAGAGGGACAGCATGAAAGAAGGTGGGGGAGCATAATACACAAAGCATGAGGGAGGGAAGGTACCAACAGGAGAGAAAGGGATTCTGCAAAAGAACGCATGGTAGGAAGAGGGGGAGAGAAGGATAAGCAAGTGCAAGATAAAGAAGAAGAACATGCAAGGCTGAGAAACCATGGAGAGATGCAAAGTGCATGTGACAGGGCAAGGGCACCTGAGAGAAGGCAGGCTAAGAGAGAAGAAAGCATGTCACTTTGGGAAACTATGGAAAGGAGAGGGAAGGGAGAGAAAGCATGCCAGAGAAGAAAGATTATACAGGCAAAAAGCATTTGAGAGAGGGAGAGGACAAATGAAGGGGGAAAAGAGAAGAAGTGAAAGTAAAAGGAAAATAAATTGAGATGGGAGAGCGAGAAGACTGTGAAGGGGAGAGAGGACAGGAGAGTGTGAGAATGAAGGGGGGAAGCAAGATAGATATACGGATAGCAAGGGTTAGCAAGGGCTGGCAGAAGAGAGGAGAAGTACAGGAAGCATGAGCAGAGGGAAAACTGGAAGAAGGAGATATGAAAATTGTGCAACAGGGAGAAAAGCATGCAGGATAAGGAAAGAGAGACTGGGAATGCAAGGCAGAGAAGTAAAAAGCACAAGAGTGAGAAGGAAACACAAGAGAACAAAGAAACAAACAAGAGTCAAAGCACGTGAGACACAAAAGGATAGCATGAGAGAGTGTCAGAGTGTGTGTAAGGAACCGAAATGCAGCCAAGACAGACAGGGACAGTGGGGGGCATGCTGTGCATTAGAGGGAGGGATAATGAATGACAGAAAGAGGAAGGCATGAGAGAGAGACTGAAAGCATAAATGAGGGAATACAATACACAGTAAAGGACATGTTTCAGAGATGGACAAGTGTGCAAGGGGTGACTAAAAATAAGACTGAGCAGCAGAGCAAAAGAGAGGGAGGGAAAATGAGGAAAAACAAGGAAGGGACAGGGGAATAGGATTCAGAAAGATGAGAGGGAAATGAGGGAAAAGGGAAACATGAGAGGGACAACAACAGACAGCAAGCAATAGCACAAGCAAAAGAAAGAGCAAGTGGGAAAGTGAAACCAAAAGAGGAGAACTGCAAAAGAAGGAACATGTTAGAGAAAGAGGAAAAACCTATCAGAGAGAGAAGGAAAGCATACCTGAGAAAGAAGGGGAATTTGGGGTAGAAGAGAGAAAAATACATAAGAAAAATGAGAGCAAGAGAAAGAGAAAGCAATGGGAAGACACCAGGGAGGAAAAGTGAGGAACATAGAAGAAAGGGAAAATAGAAAAGAAACATGCAAGATCACAGACGCTCACAAGAATGTAAGAGATAAGGAAACCAAGAGAGAAGTGATGCATGTGGTGAGGCAACATACATCAGAGAGAGTAGATGTGTTTAAGGTTGTAGGAGAGGAGAAGGGTCTGTGAAAAGGGAGGCTGATCAGAATGGGAGGGAAAAGCACACCTACAAGAGGGAGACAGAGTTTCTATGAGAGGGGAGGAACAAGGCCAAGAGGTAGGGAAAGGTTTGGAGGCCAGAGGAAACTAAGACAGTGAAAAAGTACAATGCTAGGAGGGAAAACATATCTAAGAGAGAGAGACAAACAGAAGGGCAGAGAGAAAGGGTCCAGAGAAAGGCCAAGGCAAGCAGAGACAAAGAGGCAGAAGCTAAACAAAGAGAAGAAAATAAAAGTGAGACTGGGGGTAATTTGTGAGGGGGGAGAGAGAAATACAGGTGTGCTTTGTCTTAGCACATCTAAGACAAAGGGAAAGCCCAAGAGACAGGTGGATAGAAAGGGGGAGAGAGAGTGGGATGCTGAGAGCAAAAAAGGGGGGGTAACAGAGAAATAGCAAGCAGTGAAGGGAAAGCACAAGTGAGAGACTGAAAGCACGAGAGAGAGGGAAAGTGCTTGCAAGGATGTGCCAAGAGGTGGGAAAGCACATGAGGAATGGAGAAAGTGCAAGACATGAAGCAAGGGAGAATGCAAAAAGGGAAGCACAAGAGAAAACAAATCATAGGAGAAGCAAAGTGAGTGAGGAAGAGAGGCAAAACACGTCTGGAAGAGAAGGAAAGCCGTGGAATAGGGATACAACTGAGAGAGGAAAAGCACATCTCAGGGAGAGGGAAAGATAGAAGACAGAGCAGAAGAGATAGAGGTAGCAAAGAAGAGAAGCCAGAGACAGATGGAGACAGAGACTGATGGGGATGAGAAAGGTGAGAAGAAAGAGATGGAGAGTGAGATGGAAAGGTCAAGAGGGAGAGGAATGGTTGGGGGCTGTGATTGAGAGGGAGGGATAGTGAGCAGAAGAGAGTAGTGAGACAGAGAGTGGGACAGCAAGTTAGACAAGGACGATTGTGAGAGACAGAAAGCGTGAGGGAGACAAAGTGCTAACAGGGAAAAACTGAGAGATGGAAACGCAGGAGAGGGCAGGAAAGAATGTGAGACACAAAAGCAAGACAGAACAGGAGAACAAAGTGCCTAAATTGATACACTAACAGCAAGGCACATAAGATAGAAGCAAAATGCATATAAGAAAAGGAGAGTAGCAAAGCATGCACACAAGAGGCAAAGCTCATATGCACAAGAGGTAAAGCATGAGCACAAAAGACTGAGGAGAGAGAAAACATGCATTCAAGCAAAAAAGAGAGAAAGTCAAAGTACATCCACATGAGAGGCAAAGCACAAACGTGGGAGCGGCAGAGCACACGAAAGGTAAGCTCACATGAAAGGCAAAGTGTGTGAGAGAGAAGCAGCATGCATGCAAAGAAAACATGCACATGGGAGTGAAATGTACCTAAGGGGGGGAAGTGTGGAAGAGGGGGTAAATGCATGCAAGAAGGGGAATCACACAAGTGGAGGGAAGTACACACAAGAGGCAAAAGATAAAGCACAAGGGCAAGGTGACAGAATGAGACAGGGAAGTATGGAATTACAAGAAAAAAAGCACGTGAGAGAGGCTCAGCACAACATACAGGTGAAAGGCAGGAGAGGCAAAACATGCAGGAGAAAGCAAGCATTGGGTAGCAGGGAAAGCATGAGAGGAACATACATGCAAGAGGCAGAGCATATAGAATCATCTATGCTGGAAAAGATCTTAAGATCTTTATTTACAACCATTAACCCAGCACAGCCAAGTCCACCCCTAAACCATGTCCCAAAGTGCCACATCTACACATCTAAATACCTCCAGGGATGGTGACTCAACTATTTCCCTGGGCAGCTTGTTCCAATGCTTGATAATCATTCCAGTGAAGAAATTTTTTCCCAATATCCAATCTAAACTTCCCCTCGCACAGCTTGAGGTCACTTTGTTTTGTCCTATCACATGACACCTGGGAGAAGAGACCAACCTTCGCCTTGCTAGCACTTTCTGGTAGTTGTAGAGAATGACAGCCTCCTTTTCTCCAGGCTAAACAACCCTGTTCTCTCAGCTGCTCCTCATAACACCTATGTTCCTAACCCTTCACCAGCTTTTTTGACCTTCTTTAGGCACACTCCAGCACCTCAATGTCTTTCTTGTAGAGAGGGATCCAGAACTGGACACAGAACTTGCGATGAGGCCTCACCAGTGCCAAGTACAGGGGGGCAGTCCCTGCCCTGGTCCTGCTGCCACAGTATTGCTGATACAGGCCAGGATGCCACTGGCCTTCTTGGCCACCTGGGCACACTGCTGGCTCATGTTCAGCCTGCTGTTGAGCAGCACCTCCAGGTCCCTTTCTGCTGGGCAGCTTTCCAGCCACTCTGCCCCCAGCCTGTGGTACCTCATGGGTTGTGACTGACTTTTAGGACCTGACACTAGACCTTGTTGAACCTCATACAACTGTCTTGGCCCATCAATCCAGCCTCTACAGATCTCTCTGCAGAGCCTTCCTACCCTTCAGCAGATCAACATCCCCAGTTAACTTGGTGTCATCTGCAAAGTGACTGAGGGTGCACTCGATCCTCTCATACAGATCACTGATAAGGGTATAGAAGAGGGACAGGCAAAGCACATTAGAAAAAGGCAAAGGCTGTCAGAGAGAGGGAAATATGGGTGCAGAGAGAAAGAGAGGGGAAGTCTCAGAATGAGAGGGAATGTGAGAGGGGGAGAGAAGTGGGAAGGAACAACAGAGAAGGGGAAGAGCAACAAGGAGACAATGACAGAGGGAAGAAAGGAGGGGAAGCCACTGTGTACGTGGAAGGACTTAAGAAAGCTTCAAAGACAGAGACAGGAAATCCCTGAGGGAAGGAAAATGCAAATCTGAGGGGAAGAAAATCAGGTTCAAGACAAGCCAAAAGCAGGGTATGGCTGGGAGAAGCTTTACAGATTTAGTGGAAAAGCTATACAGACAGAAGGTACAGGGAGCGAGTGGGAAGGAGAAAGCACAAGAGAGATTCTGCAAGCTTAAGAGAAGGAGAGTGCATGAAAGAAAGAGAAAGTCTGTCAGAGACTGGAAAGCATACAGAGGAGAAAGAGACAAAGAGGCAAAGTGGCAATGAGGGAGGGAAGGGCTAGGGGAAGAAAAGGTATGCAAGAGAGAAGATGTGAGAGAGGAGGAGGACCCAGGTAAACGATTTAATGTGGGACAGAGGGAGAGTGCAAGGAATTTGAATTTGAAAGCGTTTGAGTCTGTGTGCAAGCTGGAATATCTGTGAGACATAGGAAAGCATGCAAGAAAGGAGAAAAGCTACAGAAGGGAAAGGAAGACACAAAAAGGAAAAACAAGAGAGAGAAAGATGCAAAGACAAAGATACACAGGAGACCAAATGTGCACAAGAAAGTAAGCATAGGAAAGACAAGCACATTCAAGTGAAAGAGGGAGAGCATTCCCGTGCATGTAAGAGGGAGAAAGTGCATGCACAAGGAGAATGCAGGCATGAGAGTGGGAAGCATGCAAGGAGGAAGCTGCAAGATGGGAACCCACAGAGGAGGAAAGGAGCACCCAAAGAGATAGAAGTGTGCCAGCCTGGGAAAGAGCATAAAAATGAGGGAAGCAGGCAAGAGAGACAGAGAGACGCATATGAGAGAGGGTGGAAGGCTGTATGAGAGGGGGAGAAGTGCATTAGAGAAAGTGGAAAGAGCACACAGGGCAGGGAGAACGCACGGGTGAGAAGGAGAAAGCAAGACTGGGAGAGGCAGAAAGTGAGCATGAGAGAGGGGAAAAGCATGATGGGTAGTCATGAAAGGAGAAGTCCGAGGGAGAAATTATGTGAGGAGGAAAGCACACGCGGAAGCATAAGACGGGGGAAGCACGCTTGCAAAGGGACAGAAGCATGAGAGGGACAGAAGTGAAGTGGGGAGGAAAGCAGGAGAGTGGGGAAGCCCATGGAAGAGAGGTAAGCAACTGCAAGGAGAAGAAGCACAAACATGAGAGGCGGGAAGCACAAACGTGTGAGAGGTGGGAAAAGTCTGCACACAGAAAAGGCAGGGAACATCCACGTACGAGGGATGATGAAAGCACAGGCGTGAGAGACAGGGAAAGTGCACAAGGAGGGCAAGGGTCTGTGATAGGCTAGGAAAGCAAGAGAGAGGAAAAGCTGGGGCGGGGGGGACAGGGAGAAGACAGGTGTAGTGCAAGACAGAGAGAGAGACTGGGATAGCAAGAGAGAAGTGCGAGTAAAGGTGTAAGAACCCTGTGTAAAACCACACCCAGGTGCCCCAGTTTGGCTGGGACACCTCATGTGCATGAATAAATATGTACTCTTGTAATTCTGTGCTTTCTGTCGTGATGAGTCAGAGAGAGAGAGAGGGAAAGCACGCAGGAAAGCGCAACTTCATTTTATAGCAGCACCAAGCTTCACAGCCCTTCCTCTACTATCAGCTGTGTGGACTAATTAAAATCTTCTTAGATGCCAGTACAGACAAACCTAACCCCTTTCATCAGAATTTACTAAAATACTGTATCCAGTACCTACTATTTTCGAAAATAACACGCCCCATGACCACCTGTTATCCTGCAATTCTGATGAAAGTTAGCTTTCCTCTGTTATGTTCCAGTAGCTATGGTTCAGTAACAATAGGAAGGACTGCCATAAGTTGATTTACAGACTCAAAACTTAACCAACATTCCTTTCATTATTTTTTCACCTTTCCAGTGGCATTTTAAGTCTTTCTAGAGTCCTACTACAGTTTCTGGCTAGACTGTCATTATTCTTTGAGAATACTCTGTGTGCTTACCATTGGATCACAAAATTTCCCCTAGGTTACTCATGCCCAACATTGTTAATGTTGATTCTCTTAATATATTCAATAAGCTTATGCATGTATTAAGATTGGATGAACTTTTTCGTGTCAGCAGCATTTGGAAACCTAACCATACAGGATGACAGAAAAATATTGTCTCACAAGACAGAGGTTCCAAATTAAAATAAAAGACAAATACAGCAAAGTGACGCTGCATACCTGCACTCTGGGTAGAGTAAGCGACAGTTTGCAGCTCTACAGATGCACTGAAAACTGGAAGACTGTACAGCCAACTAAGCTATACGCTCTTAAGCATACCTCTATAAGTCACATGAACACCAGAAGAGTAAGAGGAAGAAGACAATGTAACCATGACAACCTCAAATCAGAGCTTGGGCAGAAACAAAAAAGATTTTCAGAACGCTTTCAATTCAATACTACCCACAAAGAAAAAGTGATAGACCACTTTAATTAAAAAGCATATCTGATGTGCATACGTGACGCGATCTCTACCCAAGCCTGCAGTTCTGTTGATGAGAACAATCTCATAGCAATGGCAGTACATAGCATCACTAAGACCATTTAAAAGCTGAGTGGCTAACTCTACAATGCATTTGGGCAGCAGCTAGCACACTGGAGCATGAGTTGTCAATTAGGGGCATCAGTCACTACTAGAAAACAAACCTCGTGGTGGATATGCTCACTCTACCGAAAACTACATCATAATTTTTTAAGTTATAAATCTGTTCAGATGCTTACTTCTATCTACAGAAAGCAAAAATAAACTAACCTACCCCAAATCTGTGTATTTATAAATTCTGTGCACACAACTTTCCTTAATATTTACACAGAAAGTGCTTCAGCTCCTAAAGCACAGCTGCAAAGCTGGTCCATGGAGCACGACGATGACATCTGTTTTGCAAATGGCTTTGAAGCAACTTGTCATTCGTTTATGACAAAGGCAACCCTACTTTGCTGGATCACTTTCTAATAAGAAAATACTTTTCAATGCTAAAAGTCATGGATGCCTGATGGAAACCTCATAGGAAAAGTTAGTGTCTCCCCAATATGACAAAGGAATGAATGAAGAGGTATTTACCACAGAGCAGTAACTAAGTCTGAGAGGAATCTTCAGCTACCTCTACAATGACAGTATCTCAGGAAATACTCTTCCAGCTTGTGGCAATAAAACCCCAGCCCAACTTTATCAAATCACTTCCAGATTTCCATGCACATCAACAAACAAGTAAATAACTTCTTCTGCACTGTTTTTATTTATTTAGAGAGTGGGGCTGCTAGCAGCACAATAGATAAAAAGTATTACCATTGTAGAGAATGCAGCAGTGTATATTCTTAGACATAAATATTTTTTTCAGCTTTAATTAACCTAAGAAGAGAGAATGGAGTGAAATCCAAAGAATAAAAAACTACTTGTATAAAATACTGAAGAGTTTAGTCTGAAATGTTTGTATCGTTCCTTTGTCTTTAAGGAGAGCTACACTTTCTGCCTAGGACTCAAAAAAAAGAAATATATTGAAACACTCGCTGCACGTCCAGCTTATGTCAGAAAGAAAAATGGTTAATGTATTAACATGGATTGTGAATGGGGGACTCAATGAATCAAACACATGAGGCTAAAAATGGCAAAAGCTGATATTAACTGCTGAAATTCCTTTAGCTAGCATGCCTTCCTAATTGTGTTTAGGTCAGTATTATAAAAGAATTCACAGCGAAACTTAAGTTTGCTGTGCTGGAATCCCACATTAAGAAAGTCAAGGCATAACATTAAAGTTATGACACTATTAACACCCTCCTGTTGGGCATAACTTCCATTTTCAACATCTGAAAGCCATTTACTAACATGAAAACACCATTACAACTTTTATCACTGAGGAAGAAAAGCCAATAGGCATGCAGCCTTCAATGCTAGGAAACAGCCCCCAGTTCACCCTGACACTTAACTCATTACACCAATTAAAACACAGATT